ATGCGCGTGGTGACGCTGAAAGGTCCGATTACAAAACCAATAGAAATACAGAAAAACAGATAAGCATTGTAACTATGTGGCTATCTAAGATCATTCTGAAATTAGTGAACTAATCAATAATCAATCAAAATATGAGCCTTCTGGCTAATGTCCTTAACAGTGATTACCGGTCACGTTATTTTCTGTGTAGGTCTCGGGGGAATCAATGGAGTTTCTCCATCCCGCTGTGGCTAGCAACTGCTCTCCGTCCGCTCGGTCATAATTCAAGAGTGTCTGAATGTAGGCTTTGAGGTGATACATGTCTACTCGTTCAATGATGAGTGTTCCATTCAGCTTACAATTGATTTGTTTGAACAGAGTATGTGCGATATTGTTGCCCAGGCATGTGAGATTTGCTGCATTAGTCGTCCTAGTTGTGAGATTTGCATTACCGGTGGTTTTAAATAACAAATCTATTTCGACAAAACTTCTTCCCACGTCTATAAACTCGGCCTGTTTAGGAACGTAGATTTCCATCGGCGTGATGCTGGATATCTGAAATGATACTTTCATGTAGCTATACTTTCCCGTAGAAAGATCTACGGGAGGTACGCGAGATATTCTTAAACTTGGATTATTCTCTGCGTCTTTGATGGACATGTTGATGATTCAACATCTTCTGCGTCTCTGAGGACGCTGCCGACGTTTTATTTGCTTTATACGCCTAGGTAAAAAGTCCCCTCGTTGGCCCCCTCTCCTTTTTCTTTTATATCTTTTTAAGATCGTGGACACGGCATCTGTGGGAGGTGCGGATTCAATACCTATGTGAGAACTCCCCTGTCTAACTTCACTCACGCGTATCATTTTGTTTATTCGCCAAAAATATCGTCTAGTGTTCTATTCAATCTTCTTTTCGCATCGTTTTTCAGTCCTCTTTTAGCCCCTCTCTTGAAGCCGCTCGGTAATTCTGAAGGCTTCATTTGCGCAAACGTCCTTTTAACCCTTCTCTTTGTTTCTCTGGCCATATCTTTGATCATATTTTTCACCTGCTCCCGCTTCATTCTTTCCCCAACTTCTCAAAAAGGGTGGAGGCGGGGCCAAAGGATTCCATCGCATTAACGAACCCCCTTTTTGTTGTTCGGGCACATAGACTTTAAATCTTCGTAACGCTCCGCCTCTCATGGTGACACGATTACTTTTAAATCTTTTTTTAGAATCCAGCAGTTGTATTTGCTGGGATATCCTTTCCACTTGACAAACAATTTATCTTTTGTTTTCTTTAATACCTTTTCCACTCGAAAATACCTCGACGCGTCTACCTGTACTTTTTGTAAATCCCACGCATAACAGCTTCCTTTTAAAGGTGTCTCGTATAATTCTCTCACTTTATAGGTTGTCACTTGTCCAGGCACTACT